TACCTGAAACAAAAACATGCAAAATGTATTTCTTTAAAGTGTAATATCATTAAAAATGTACATAAAATGATCATGAAATGTACACTAAAACAGGTAATTTTCAGGTGGATCAACACTATGTAGGGTGTACTACTCATCTCGGGTTTTTTTCCACTCTGATAAGCTCTGTCATCTTTTTGGACAGTTTTCACTCCTTTCTCGGGTGTATTATTGACTCCTCATATTGTAGGTGATTGCCTGGATGATGGGGTGGTCCTAATTTGCTCAGTGTCAATGTCTAAACATCACTCACTGACCAGTAAGGTCGCAACTGAACGATGTGGCTAGTGGCTGACTTCAGAACTCCCAAATATCTGGCTATGATGTTCTCCTCTGCTCCCTCAGCTCACATTTCAACATGGACTGCATAAACTTTGTTGTGAACTCATCTACTAACAACTCCCCGTAATGAAAGTGATATATCCTCAAGAACATGTTTTGTTATTAGTGTGAGGGTAGATTTTTTCTTTTGTCTCTCCTTCTTCAACTTCCCCCAATTAATGTTCTTGTTCGTACCTTCTCTCTGTCTCACTTTTTTTCAGACTTTCATCACAAAGAGGCATTCTTCTTCAGCTTTATGGCTACAAACTTCACCCGCCTAGTTGCCATTTTCTTGTACTAAAAAATTTTCTCAACAATATGCAACCACTCAATGATGTCATCTTGATTCATCCTCTTGAAATCTAGTTAATCTACTTCACCTCATGTCTCCATGTTCTCTAAAAGTCACTCTATTTCTCTGCCTCGTTTGATGCTAAACCTCAAATTGTTGTGGCCTATCCTCCTCTTCACTAGAATCATCACTATGAGATGGATTCAAATTTCTCTCTTCTTTTGAATCTCACTATCACGATTGACAGTGATCTCTCCACGGATCCTTTACTTTCAACAATTCTTTGTTAAAGTAGGCGGATTTTTGCTCATTCTCTTCCATTGTAAGTTCTCATTTGGCTTCCAACAGTTCTCCTCGGTGACATGGCTTGGGTTTAGGTTTGGAAGGTGAAAAAGGATTTATGGGGCTGATTTAGGATGCATACAAAAAAATTAGGGTTGCTGATTTTGAAAATCAACAAGGGAGATTAGGGTTAGGTTAATATTTGGCTATGGTTTGGTGAGTTTAGGTCAGCCTACGATGGAATTAGGATTGGGGTAGCTTTGATACCAGAATTTAACAAACACCCAACAGAAAATATATATTATTACATAAATTCAAAGTTTGAAATTATAACAAAAATCTGGGAAGTCTGAAATTGCAACAGAACAATAACATAACTCTAAAGCTAGGGTTGGATCTATGGTGTAAAATGTGTCGAGTGGGCTATTTAATGACATGCAAGGGGATTCTGCAAGATGGCAGCAAACTGGAACAACAGGTCTGTCGTTTCCTAGTGAAAGACCAACATGATGACAAGGAGAATGACAAAAAATTATAATTCGAGAACTGGATGGCAGCAGAGTTGTAGAATCGCATACACACCATTTTAGGAACAAGATACAACCGGAGAACCACTCAGAACCCTTGGATATAAGCCTAAAAAGGGGAAAAAATTGTCAACAGCTCTACGAACTTAATCAAAATTTAAGACCTTAACATCAAAGAAATATTTAAATAAACCTACTACAATTAGAAGCGGGCTTCACTTGGGGGGGGAGTGGTGAGGAATATCATAATTGTTATTTTTGTGGGTGGAGGCAGCAAAGAGAGCGTGACAAGGGTGAAGGGAATCGATGCAGGAGGAGTGGGGAATGAGTAGAATCGCATACACACCATTTTAGGAACAAGATACAACCGGAGAACCACTCAGAACCTTTGGATATAAGCCTAAAAAGGGGAAAAAATTGTCGACAGCTCTACGAACTTAATCAAAATTTAAGACCTTAACATCAAAGAAATATTTAAATAAACCTACTACTATTAGAAGCGGGCTTCACTTCAAGTGGGCAGCAACCCTAGGCCTAGAGCGGGCCAACTGACCCTCTCTCACTTAAACCGAACCGATCCAGGGCCCCTCCCAACTCTTTTATAATGTCTCTTCAATGCTATGTAACTCGATCAAGAATCTCAACCCTATATCTTCTTGAATCGACTTAACCATTGTCTTGAGTGTCATCATGGTCTTGCACAAACTAGGGTCACCACAAAACACTGCCCTCTTGTCTCATGAAACTCCATTATCAGGAGTTTTCAATTCATCTTAGTCTCTCCCTAAAGACTGTAATCATTTCATACCTAATATTACATCTGTGCCCCCTAGATTTAAGGGATGAAAACTGTCCACCACCTGAATTTTTTGTTGTTTCAAAATTAATCCTTTACGAACATGCTCTTTTCTTCCTGTCTCGTCCTCATCATTACTTTATGGCTTCTTATCTCACCATCTCAAGCCTCAATTGCTCCACTACTTGAGTGGAGATGAAGTTATGGGTGGCTCCACTAACTATCAACACCACTACTTCCTGCTCCTTGATCTGTTTCCGAAGTTTTATAGTGTAGTTCAATGTGAACACCACCATTGAGTTCAATGAGACTTCTGTCACATCCAAGCAAGAGTTTTCTACCTCCTCCACCACAACCTCCTCCATTTCTTTATCTCCTATCTCCTCCTCATCAAGTACTGTAAGAACAATAAATTTTGATTCATGTAACTGTTTCCTAGAACAAACTTCCACACCAAAAATATAACTCATTGGCTCGCTCATCTTGACTCTTCATCTCTGTAATGTGTTTGAAGGTCACTTCCGGTCGTGGCTCATTATTTATGTCCCACAGTCTCTCTTGAATATCAATGTTTTAGTTTTTGGTACCGTTAAGGTTGTAGCATTTCAATGTGGTGCTACAACTTTGTTGCTCCTATTAGACCGTTCCATTTCATTTTTATCATCAATCAGTTACGTTAATTCATTATTTCCCCCAATCCTCGCAATCTCAAATGACGAAGTGTTGCTGGAATTTTTGATTTTTACTCCTTTAGGAAGTTTCCTTCCAATATTACTTCTGATATCCCTCTCTAAAAGCCAGATAGCATCTCAAAATTTTTCCTATAATCCATGATAGACCATTCTTAGACCAATTCAAACAACTACTTTTGTAAATGCCCTTCCCACGTGGTTCTGAAATGCTCCAACAACTATTTATTGAGTTCTTCCCATGTTCTGATTGGCTGACGCTATTCTTCCTTTCTAAACATAGGGTCGTTGTCATTAATTTTTCTTTCTGAATTAGCCCATTAATAATAAGGTATTTCTCCACGTGATAAACCCCAACACTAGGCATTATCTCCTTCAGAGATCCGCATCTTCAGATTCCTATGTGCGAGTCTTCTCCCAATTTTCTCGATCGAAGCTTATTCCACCAATTAAGCGGTGGTTGGATTCTTTTCCTCAACCCCTATTGATTTCCCTTCTTCCATCTGTCTTGCTCGCTTCATAATCAAATTGTTTGTCCCCATAGGCTCCTGAATCGTCTTCCTAGAAACATAATCAAATTGCTTGTCCCCATAGGCTCCTGAATCGTCTTCCTAGAAAGTTGTTGCAGTTGCCGCAGCAAAAGGCACTGGCGTGGTTAGATGCTGCCATCAATTGGAGTCTCACCAATTGTGATCTCTTGTTTTAAGCTAAAATTCAATGAATCGATCTTCTGCAACCCCGAATTGCACAACGCCATCTCATCCCACCAACCGTCGTTCGCCCAGTCATCTCTAGGCCTGAATTGCACGCCACCATCACGTTCCATCTGATTCCACTCATTCCAGCTTTCTAGTATGTGTGCATTTCCTTCCAGATGCTGTTGCCCAGGTCCACTCCCGACTCGTTCCTGTGGCCCCAAATTTGCCTAAGATAGTGAAACTACTCCCTCCGTAACATTGATGCCACACAATTCCTTTTTATTGCTACTGCTCGGTTCACTCCAAACACCTTAGCTCAATATTGCGGTAATCAGCGGCGGGTTTGTGTGGAACTCCATGATTTTATTTATCAATTCTTCCAAGGCCCTAAATCGCCCCTCGATGGATGAGAAATGCTCCTTCATTCTCGATCTATTTTGGCTCACCTTTCCCTCTAATTTCTCCTCCAATGCATCCAATTTCTTAGGCGTCATTACTCCCAAGTATGGCTCTAATATCAAGTTGATAGGAACAAGACAACTTTTGACATTGATTAGGGCAATATAAAACTTCTTACTCCACCAGCACAAAATAACGCAATCCCAAATACATAAATGATAGACCTACAATTTGAGAGGTTGGTAATTCTCTCGCAAAATTCTGACCTTAAGATTCAAGACAACAATCACCCACTCAACTCTAATCCTATCAAGTCCTATTTTTAGAAAACCACAATAACTACCAAATAACTAAATTGCCTTTTTAGGCTTGCGCCTAAAATAGGTCTTCAAATTATTTGGAAGGCTCAGCATGGGTTCAATGGGACCACTTGACTCATTGGAGCCTGAGGCCTATTAAAAAAAAATGGAGAAATATTTATAATAGCTACAACAGCTTTCAAAATTATTACTTTTCTCACAATATTGTTCTACTGAAAGGCATATATGCAACATGCGCAAATCTGCATTTGGAAACTGTCCATCTACTTTTTTGTTATTTTGAAAGACCTTTAGGCTCGTTGAATTCAAGAAGCATGTGACAAAGATGAATATAATATATAGTGTTTTTCCATTTGAGTAGTCTATAGTCATTCCAAAGGCCAGTGATGCAATCCATGTAGGTTAGACTGCGGAGTTAAATCTACGGTTTTGCTGAATGGATGGTGAGAGTTATTATGCCTAACTCACCATGGATAAGTTTTTGTCAACAAATTGATGATGTAGCTTTCTTTGTAAATGATGGAATTTGATTTGGCAGGAGAGAATTTATTATTTTCGGTGATAATGAAATACTTGAATATATTACTAAAAACCTTTGGACTGATCTGAAATTTTTTTTTTAATTTTTTATTTGAAGCTTTTGATGCTGAAACCCAAAAGGTATGGAGTGGAGCACAAGGAAAATTTCTCGGGTGAAGGAGACGAATATATCTACCATTCCAAGGGTCATGCCCTGAACCCAGGCCAGAGGGATTGGACCAGATACCAACCATGGCTACCCACCAAGACCGCTTCTTAGCTTTTGGTGTCTCTATTCTGAGAATCATATTTTGTTTAATAAAAAGGATTGTTTTTCATTTGTAATGCGCCTTTGAGGGCACCTGACTTCATAAGATAAACTTGTAATTTCTGCGCAACTGATAAACTGCATTGTATTTGAATTATCTGCTTCAAGAAACTTCAAGCTGGTGGCAGGCGTTTATTAAGATGGTTCACCACTTGTGTATGGGAAGTGGATGATTTCTTTGTGGGTTTGTCTTTGCTGCTGCTAGGCTTGGCTTCAGTGTGTTTCATAGCCTTCATTTTTGTTTAAAACTTTTTTTGAGAGTTCAGAATTGTTCTGATTGGTGAAAGTATTCCAATTTAGTTTTGTTTTCATTTTTTTAAGAAGTTTCTTATTCTTGTGAGAAATTATTCCCCATATGCTATATATTATATATATATATATATAGTATTGGAATTTTATTTAACGAAGAGCGTTTCAGTCCATTAGCTCACGGATTGTTAAGACCAGAGGCTATTTATTAGAAGCTACTTTGAAAGCATCTTTAAAGCTTGTATTGCCAGCATGAACAATTTTGGTTAAAAGAATACCATTTATGAGGAACATAGTATAACTTAATATTAATTTTATTTTATATTTGCTATGGAATTTGCTTACATACCATAGAATTCGTAGGTAGTTACAAATCTAACATCTAAATATTATTTTGTACATTCATACCACCAAAATTTATTAAACCACAAAAACTATAACTATTTCAAATGTGAAAAACACTTTTTCATGCATAATAAATGTAAGGTACAAATGCCGATTAAAAAGCATATTATTAAAAATTACAAATTTTTAATCAAGCAAATAAAATCTTAAATCTTGTGTACTTAATGATCATCGCTTGTGCTTGGCTGATTAATGATTGAACCAAAAATATTTTTTTTAATCTTATTAGAAAAAAAACAAAATCACGTTGGCATATGCACTGTAAACGAGACGAGCTTGAGCGAGCTCAAGCTTGGCTCGCGTTCGGCTCGTTCGAAATAGCTCGTGTTCGAAATCGGTTCGAAATCAGCTCGTGTTCGAATTCGGCTCGTGAACAGTGTTCGTGTTCGGCTCGATTTAAATATTCGTGTTTGTGTTAGGCTCGTGTTCGGCTCGAAATTGACTCGTTAAACTAAAATTGAGAAAAATATATGTAAAGTATAGAATTCGAACCTGGATCAAATATATACAGAAGAAGACACTAACCACATTGTCACATGAGATATTATGATTTAAACTTAGACATAAATATATATAATATATTATTATATAAATAATATATGTAATATATTGTTATATAAAAAGTTATATAATTTTTTTTTCGAGCCATTTCGAACTTCACGAACAACGAGCCAAATTTACAGCCCTATTATGAACAACGTGATAGAAATTTAAGTCCCATATTTTACACCATGCAAGAAAGGAATCATCCCTGATATTTTATTCTAAATAAATCTCAATATATCATTTATCATTATTTTTTTAATATTTCTTCAGAAAGTGAACGCATATAATGTTCATTATTTTAGAAAGAAAATCTTTTTCCTGCTCAATCGAGCTTGCTTGAAAGAATTTTTTTCAATAGAAAGCTTTGATCACCATTTTACTTCAATTTAAACCTTTAAAGAAAGCCTCGGGAAATTTTTGTGCGTAGAGAAAAATAGAATTTAGGCAGTTCCCAACCAATTCAACCCAAATTCCATCTCAATATAAACAAAAAGGTAGAATTGACTTAAAACGTAATTAAAAACCGACACTTTCAAGCTGAAAATATTTCACAAAAATAACAATTGCATAACAATCAGACGGTTGAGAGCTCGCCTAAATCTTCAAAGGAGACCATTGACTGAATGGCCTTACTTCAGTGAGAAGGCCTTACAGACAAGTAGTGATAAAACGCTTCCAGATGATCACTCTACCATGGCATCATTTGGTGCAACGTCTGACTGACCGGATGATTTTTTCTTGCCCTTTCCTGCACATGAGATACACCACAACAAACATTAGGAAGCACATTCCATCATATTTATAAATTAAAATCTACAATATTCAGTTTTAATTATAAACTTAAAATATTAGATAATTATTCAGCTGAGATGGATGATTTTTCTTTGGGCTCGTGTTATAGCACAAACATTGGATAGAAATAAAGTGAAGAATACTAACGCCCCAAGTTCGAGTGTAAATCTTGCCCCGAAAAAAACTCCTCCGGAAAAAGATTAATTCATTCGATTCAGCTACATCTCTTTTGTAATTTCCAAGAATTTATCTGATGAAAAAATAACTACATATACCGCCCAATTCCTATGTATTTACATATCTAACACCCAAACTCTGCTTTTACATACATAAAAAATACCAACATTTTAACTTTAAAAAAGCGTGAAATACACCTTACACCTTTAAGTAGCTTCTCTAAGACAATTTTGGAAAACTGTAAAAATACTTCATTCAAAGAAGTACTATCTTTTGTTAGATGTTTTTCCTACCATAAAAGCGGTGTCGACAAAATCTTAGTTGTACTAGTTTGATTGTGCCTATTGCGCAAATGCAACACCGAAAGAAAATAATTTGGAAAAATTATTGTGGAGCTATTTTACAATCTAAAAGAAAGGAAAAAAACTTACTCCCCCTTTGATATTTAAAATAAAGTAGTTGATGGTATTTCAATTTTTTATCAATTCAAATTTACAAACACTTCATATGGCAGCAAATTCAAAACAGATACCAGAAAATGGTAACAGACTACAATGATTTATGGGAAAACATTCATATGGCATTTACAACACACCCATCTTTCAAGAAAAAAACAAAAAACGCTATTGTTCAGAAACAAACAGCTTTACATTATAAGTAAAACTCCAAGAAAAAAACAAAAAATGTTCAGAAACAAACAGCTTTACATTATAAGTAAAACTGGAAAAACCCAACCAAAAGAACCTAAGTTTAGACTAAAAAACAAAGTAAACTGAACACCAAAGCATAAAAAGTAACATACAAGATATAAACCATAAAGCATTAACTGCGCAAGGGAACAACAGGGATCATGTTGCATCCACAGACAGTAACTTGGCCTATTCCAACATAACCTCATTCTCAGCATTCAAACCATGCGCAAGCCTTCTAGCGGTCAATTGATATATGACAACCAATCATTACAGGACTTAAGTTAGTGCAAATGTCTAATGTTAAAGATATATGATGCCAAATTACTCAAAACCAGAAAAATTATATTGGTATTGTCTGATGACTGAATGTGAAAATCCCAAAACTAGCCAAAAAATTTCCAATTCTGATTATAAGCCTAAATCCCTTCCTTAGTTCAATTGAAAATTCAAGTAAAACTGTCCACAGCTGATAGCCTTTCCTTAGAAACCCACTGTACACACCCCTTTTTCAAGTAAAAACTTAACAAAAATATCAAACAAATATTTTTTTTAAACTCATCTCTGGCAAACAATAAAAATATTAATATTTTTTTTCTAAAAACAACTGAAGTAAATGCAAAACATCATCTTTTTTACTGTGACAGCCTAATAAAGTAAAAGATATTGTGCAGTTATACATATTGGCCTCAGACAGGATAAGCTTACCCTTAGATTTTAATTTCTTGATTCTAAGCCTCGAAGCCTTCTTCAAGTGAAACTTCGTCGGAGACTTCTCCTTTGCAGCTTGAGAAGTTCCTATAAGTAAGAACAGTTTAGAAACAAGAGATAATAAGAAGATGAACATCCAATGCAACATTGCATGACAACTCAAAATAGCAAAATTGTACCGCAAACTTTCTAAATTCCCCTAAATAAGATATGTCAATATTATCCAAAATTAAACGTTCCATCACTGAAAAACAGCATTACTGAAAAACAAAGGTAAGAATCAACAGTTCAAAACTTTCACAAGAGACATCGGGTAAATAAAATCCATTGCACTCTGCCTTAATAGTAAAAAAATGGGAAACAAAACAGACGCACCATCTGCAGCTTCCATCTCAATGTCTTCCATAGTCACCAAACCCTTCTCTATCGCCGCTTTCTTATCCTGCTCAAATAAATAATTCTTTTTTCTTCAGAGAAAGCACGAATAGAAGACCTAAAAAGGACGGAGAAAGAGAAAGTACCCTTCGCCATTTCTTGAAGAGTTTTCGCTTACGTTTACCGGAGATAGGTATGGTTTCAACTTTCTGCTTTAGCTTCCGAGTGTTAGGATCGCCATGAACGGCACGCTTCCGATCCTGGATCCTCCCCCGCCTTGCCTTCTGGATTTGGTTGAACTTGGCCATGGCGCAGCCCCGCAACACACAAACCGTAAACCCTAATTTTCGAAATTTATCTATTCATACAATATATATATAATATGCCGAATCATATTTATATTTTTTTGCAAATCACCATGACGCAATGGTTGATAATTTTTTCTTCCAACCAAGATTCAACCAAGATGTACTGATGCAGTATACCATGTTTGAATTTTGCTTCGTGCATATGCAGGATACCATGTTTGAATGTGTGCGAAAGAAAAAATTTATGTATATCTTTAAACATAAAAAATAAATAAATATTGTATATAACTTTAAGATTTAATACATAGTTCTCTGACAATATTTGCTATTATTATTTGGAATATTATCATATAAGAATGAATCTCTTTGTATTTGAGAACCTATAATTATAGGTATGAATAGTGTGCTCTTTAGATGGAGGATGAAGGAGGATATTTTTTAGGAAGATTTACATAAATGTCACATAATAACATATATGAGAAAAACAAATCAATTATAAGAACATACTATTTAAATTATTAGATTTCATTGCTTATGTGATGCACAATATTAGCATATGTGTAACTTATTATATCTAATGAGTAAATTACTCATATTTTTAGAGATTTTTTTTTAGTTTTGAGCCCACCAATATTTCTCTTTTTTTATAGGAATTATATATGAAGAATTTAAAAAATTTAATGTTCCAACCTATTTTTTTTTCATTTTTGTGTTTTCTCATTATTATTCCTCTGATCTACTCCAATGGTTGTATCTCTTCTCATACTCATCTCTCTCTCTCTCTCTCTCTCTCCCTCCCTCTCCCTCCCTCTCCATAATCTCAAAATCTAAGCTAATTACTCCTCCCTCACCATAATCTCAAAATCTAAGCTAATTACTTATGAGTTTTTGTTATACATAACCACTTCATCTGTTATAATAGATTTTATTCACAATCTAATGCAACAATTTTAATTTATTATACTTATCACATCTTCCCCTTGTGGAGTCTAAATTTGCCTGTGATGATGCAATGCTCTACTTGTAAAACCTATAAGGTGCTAACATAACAAAAAGTTGGGAGAGAACAGTTTGAGAAAAACATTATGCTATATAATTTTGATATACTAGAATTATATATTAGAAAATCTTTCGTTGAAATAGCCTTCATACCATGTATTTGAGTTTTGAAAGCAATGAAAGGGGTTATATCTAGACCCCAATAAAAAATATGACTGGAAAGTTACAGACATGTGGATACCAAAGCTTAAAGATTTATGAGTGCATGTGGATAGCCCTTTAGGCAAGTGAATTCATTAATTTTGTAGATAAAGCAGTAGTTATTTGGTGGTGTGATGACTTGGAGAAGATTGTGTCTATGAGTACAATAGATGAGCAGTTCTTATTGAGCAGGAAAATAGTTCTTTGATGAGTGCACATGAAAGAAAATATGTTGTGGTTGAAATTATTATTATAAGCAACCACTTCGAAATGGTCCATCTTTCTTCATAATGTAGTTTATTTTTTCCCTGAAAACGATTTTTCGACGAACGTAAGTAGTTTGATAAGGCTAACTAGGTAGTCGACTTACTGAGATACCCTATTGTTGGCAAAGTAAGGACTGCTCCTTTAATAAAGTCAATAGAAATGATTGCCTCAATAAGTGTTAACTTCATCTTAAATTTTTTACTTTGAATCTTTAAAGTGTGACACTTGCTCTAAACATAGATTTTTAGTCCTAGAAGTTGAGGACTAGTAAGAAGATCATTGACAACCAACTTCTTCGTGAGTTTGAGAAGATTTGACTTAAGAACTTGACTGAAAGTTTGTTTTGATTGGAAATTTATTTTAAATTCATTAATATTAAGTTCAATGACTTTTTAACTTGGTCCAACCAAATTCTCAAAATACTTTCACAAACACCTGGAAAAAATAATTATATGTCATTTACACATATTTATTGTGTGGAAACAAGTATCAACATATCGGAGTTTTTCTTTCTTGCAAATTGTCATCAGTGCATAATAAAATAACAAACTTCTTGGCAAGTTGAATTAACTTACCCAAGAAAAAAATATGCACTGTAAGGACAAGTTTTAAATAGTGTTACACTGTTTTTTTAGTGAAAGTATGGACTTATGTTAATTAAAAGAAAAAAAATGATGAAAAGATGGTGGCTATCAAATCTGCATATGAGTAGAGGACTGCTAAACTACATGAAATAATTTCTTAGAACCTTCTCTTATCATTTTGAATTTGCTAGAGGATACAAAATCTCTCGAGTTTTTTAGAATTGTTAAATGCCAAGAAGATATTACAAGCAAGTTCCTAAAATGCATCACTTTATATTTTAATATTCTAAAATGAAGGCAACAAATATTTTCCTATAGAAAACGGCTACTCATTAAAACATAATGCTGAAGTTATACTTTTGTATTTGTATTTTAACATTTTTGAATGGCGGATACATTATACTTGTAATTTCTAAAAATTCAGGAATGAAATGAAATCATATAATTATTTAATTATATGATGCTTGTTTGCATGATTTTTTGTTATATTGCTAAGATAAGAAAATGTTATGGTTAAACATGATTATTTAATGAAAGTAAGGAGCCAAGACATATTATTTTTTTTTTATGTTCATAACTTTTCAACCATCCTCTTAGATGGCCTTACCTTTTGTTAAACTTTAGTTTTTGCGGACGAAATCATGTAAATTCTCCAAATAGAATAGACTCGAGCTCTACCAAATGTAAATTTTGGTCACAAAAGTGAGTTAGATTATAGGGCTATAATTATCCTTAATCATTATTTACAATTTAGATTGTCATTTAAACCATTATAAAATGAGAAAAGCAAATATAAATATACTCAAATCCCATACTTATAAGTTAATAACAAAAATATTCTTATTGATGAAATGAAAAAAATTGAATTATAATGATTGCTCGAAAAATAGAATTTAAGAGGAATGCTAGATTATTGAACTCTCATCTACCGAGTTCGTAGAATTTGAATTGGTCTGTTTATGTATATTTGAATTCAATTATGAGCAGCTCCTCGGTTGAATTTTCTATAATAAAAAAATCTAAAGAGAATAAAAATTGCCATGTTTTCAAACAATGAGTTTCTTTTGGGCAAATCAAATATAAGAGATGAATTTTGTGATAAGTCTTAGCCCAAGCAAGACTTATATGTTCACTGAAATAAGTAACCACATGAATAAATATGTTTTCCTTAAGAAACATATAATTTCTTAGTCTTAGACATTTGAGTATATAAGTCTTGTAGTGATCTTGAATTTAATTAATTCATATATAAAATCAATTTGCATCTCATATATCTTTTGAATGAAAATACTATTTAAAGAAAATCCTTTTTTGCATGAAAGTATTTTTTTATCTTATTAAAATACAAAGTAATCTCATATATGAAGATTTTAAATTAGGAGACTTAATTCTATTTATTTGTATATATTGTCTCAACCATAATAAAAAAAATTAGGAGACTTAATTCAATGCATCTAGACACTTCGAAAGGTTCTTTTATGAAGAGATTTGTCTCTTGGATCAATGGACATGTCTTTTAAATTCAAAAGAGTTGACTTTTGGATAGATTTTAGAGGGAATTTTGAATTCTTTTTGGAGGGAGGCAACCTTTGATAGAAGAGAGGGAAGTCTAGAGCTTGAATAGAGTTGGAGTGGCGTGTAAAGGGGGTGGCAAGAAGATATATAGAGAGAGAAAGTCAAGGGCTTGGAGATTTTCTTCAAGGATTGTAAGAGGAGAGGGAAAGTGAGAGATTTCTTCTTCATTAAACTTTTAAGAGAGAATTGAGAGTATTTGTAAAGAGAGAAAGACTTGGAGAGAACTTCTAGGGATTTGCTTAGAAAGGATTGTGAGATAAGTTGCATCTTTTATTTCTTTTATTTTGTAAATTTATTTTTATATATGAAATCCGTGTTTTATCGTATCATTCTAATGAATTCTGAGTAATCTTCTTTATCCTTCTCCCTACTTTGAGATATGATTTTGTGAAGAATTGATTTTATTTTATATGATTTTTAATGTCAATAATTTGTGATGATTTGAACTCCGATCTTCATTTACTTTTCAATCTAACCAATTGAAATGTTAAAATGTGTTGAGAAACATATGTTCTGAAAGGGCTATTATTTTGACAACATGGGGAGAATCACATTTGATTTCATGGGAGAGTATTTCATTCATGGTGTTGGGTGCAAATAAGTATGGAAATATACTTTGTTGGATGCAGAATTAGAGATTTTAAGGTGATAGATTAAAATCTCAAATTTGGTCCAGTTGATTGAAAATTGATGTGAGGTTGTTAGCCCTCAGGTGAGGGAGTAGTGGGAACTCTATAGTGGTAGTCGGTATCCTCCCAGCCTAACCACGAAATTAGCGACCGAACTCTGGTTTAATCAATATTCTTTATGCACTCAAAAGAGTGTAAAGAATATGATTGCTCCTATTTGACACAAAACAATATATATATATATATAT